CTGGAGAGATGGCTCAGAGGTTAAGAGCATTGCCTGCTCTTCCAAAGGTCCTGAGTTCAATTCCCAGGAACCACATGGTGGCTCACAACCATCTGTAATGGGTCTGGTGCCCTCTTCTGGCCTGCAGGCATATACACAAAACAGAATATTGTATACATAATAAATAAACATTAAAAAAAATTCCTCCGTGGCCTTCTTAGCACGGAGCTACACGTGTTTCCAGTATCCCTGCCTGCCACACGTCAGGGAACCTGAGTTGCCCCAGGCCAGCCCTAAAACCCTAGGCGCCAGTTAGGAATGCGTGTTACCATAGAAACACACACGCTTCGTAGGCGTGCCTCGCGCAAGGTGGAAGTCCGAGCGGCCATTTTAACAGCTGGCAAGAGGAGTGGCACAGGCGCTGCCAAGCAACGGTTGACGCGTTTTAACCAAGTGACTGGTACAGCGGAGCGGGGAGAAGAGGGCGGTGCCATCCTACGGGATGAGGGGGGCGGGAGGGATTTAAGAAGGGGAGGGCAGGGGAGAGGAGGCAAGGCGAGGCGAGGCAAAACAAGGCTGGGGAAGGAGCATCAAGCACAGGGATCAGGCAAAGAAAGAGCGCGGCTACGGTGGGACGGCGAAAGGGCGGGGCGAAAGCCAACGCCTTTCAGATTTGAAGCTTCCGATGAGTGTGGGCGTGGCTAGAAGAGGCGGGGCATAGAACAGGTTGAAGTTCAGGGCATGGATAGGAGAGATGAAAAAAGGTGGAGGGAAAAGGTGTCGGTGGGGACAGTGAAGATCGCGAAGTCAGCGTGGGTGTGGGACGACGGGAGGTCTTTCGGCCAGAGCACAGTCTATGGCAAGGAGAGACCCCGAGATCACGAGTGGAGTCGAGGCGAAGACAAATACTGGGGCAAGGAACGAGTTATATACGAGTACGAGAGGGAGCACGGCGAAGAGATAGCCAAATGGGAGGACCAGGGCGAGGAGCGACCACCTGGCGAGGATAGATCCCGGGGCGAGGGAAGGTCACCCGGAGAAGAGCGATCCCGGGGCGAGGAGAGACCCCGAAGAGTAGAGAGGTCCCACGACCAGGAAAGGTTCCCTAAGGAGAAGGAGCAGGTCCAGGAGAGGGCTGGTGCGGAGTGGCAGGCGGGTGCTGAGGAGATATCACCGGGGCGGGAGGAGAGGGGGCGGGGACAGGAGCAGGAGGGCGAAGATGCCCAGGATTCAGGGAAAGACTCAGGGGCGTGGCCTGGAGAGAAAGTGGACCGAAGAGCTCGCCTCCCTCCAGGATCAGGGGCGTGGTCAGGAGAGGAAGAAGAGCAAGGAGCCCGCCTCCCACCGGGCTCAGGGGCGTGGCCTGGAGAGAAAGCGGACCGAAGAGCACGCCTCCCTCCAGGCTCAGGAACGTGGTCAGGAGAGAAAGAGGAACGAGGAACACACCTCGCTCCGGACTCAGCGCCTGAGCCAGGGCAGGGGTCGTAGCCTGGATGGAGTGATCAAGGACTCAAAGAAGGACAAGACCAAGACTAGAAGCCGGTTCTTGAGTAGAGCAAGAGCAAAGAGAAAGGGGCGTGACGAAGAGCAGTGTGAGGGCGGGGCAGCCTGTGAAGGCGGAACCAAGTCCAGGAACAAGTCTTTAGGGCGTAAGGCTAGAGAAAAGAAGGGCCCCGGCAGGGCAAGAAACAAAAAGAGAGTCTTGGAGAAGAATAGAGTTCTAAGAGCCAGCACAGAGAAGAACAAAGGTGGGGCAAGAAGAGACAGAGCGATCGTCAAGGGGGCTGAAAAGAGCCCCAGGGATAGGAGCGGGGCCAGAAGCAAGAGCAGGGGCGGGGCCGAGAGCAAAGGCAGGGGCGAGGCGAGGAGTGTAAGGGGAGGGGCTGAGATTAAGAGGACCGGAAGGACCAGGAGCATTAGGAGGGGTGAGGCCGAGAGTAAGGGTAAGGGCGTGGCCAGGAGTAAGAGCAGGGCTGGGGCCGAGAGTAAGAGCAGGGGCGGAGGCAGAAGTGGGGCGGGGGCTCGAAGCCAAATCAAAGGTGGAGCCAGGAAGAGGGGCGGAAAGAAAGGCAAAAACCGAGCGGTTTCCCAGAGAGCAACTGAAGGGAGCCGACTCGCAAGTGGGTATTGACCCCCACGTTCTCCAGGTTCTAGCTGCATGGTGTGCTGCCCAGCCATGTCCCCTGTCAGCCCTGTATGGCCGAGAAAACCAAAGCTATGGGCGTTCTGTGTACTGCTGCTAGTGCTACTGCTGCCGTGGAAGTCGTGGGCGGTAGAACATTTCCAACACTGCCACTGGCTTGTTGTCCTGAACAATTTCGACAAAGTAGGTTCGCTCCCGACTAAGGCTCGATTTCTGGATCAAGAACCCATTGATACAGTGACCGAGCTGTTCCAAAATTTGGCAGACTTGCCAATCGACCCGCAGGAGGTGAGGGAACTGGGGTCAAGAATATCAGAGGGATCTTGGGCCAGTAAATATCAGGGGGATCCTGAGTCAGTATACCTCTTGACTGGCTATTTCGCCCACCTTTCCTTACAGAAATATATGAGTTTTCCTTACTACCTGAAAGTCAGCTTCTTCTGTACGGAACAGGTGAGAGTTTACCTTGTGAGTGGGATGATTTCAGTAATCTCCAGTCCCCGTCATTTTCAGAGGTGCTTTTCTATACAGTTTAATACTAGTTTCTTCCAACTCTGCAGGTCTTAAGGACTTTCACTAGGCAGACTCAAATACCCTTGTGTCTATTAACATTCACTCTTTTTTTTTTAAATACTCATTTGTCCTGGAGAGATGGTTCAGTGGCTAAGAGCATTGACTGCTCTTCCAGGGGTCCTGAGCTCGATTCCCAGCACCCACAAAGTGACTCACAACCATCTATAATGGGATCTGAAGACCTCTTCTGGCATGCATGCATACATACAGACACAATAGTGTCTAAAAGTAAATTTTAAAAAATTTTTAAAAAATAACTTTTGGGACAAAGTTAGCCATTGCAAAGTATTTAAAACTATTAATTTTATTTTTAATTATATGTCTATGCTGGGTATATGCATGTACCTGCAGTTACCTATGGATGTCAGTAGAGGGCAATGAATCCTTGCAATTGGAGTGCAGGCCACTGTCTTGAACCATACTTTGGTTGTCTGGAAGAGCAGTATACACTCCTCACCACTGAGTCATCTCTCCAACCCCACCTTCTGTCTTTCATAATACAAGGAGCGTGTTACATAACTAGGCTGGCCTTGAACTCACAACAACCCTTATGTCTCTGTTCCCAAGTGCTAGGATTATAGGTGTGAGCCACAATGCCAACCTAATTTTGCCCAATTTGGGTTTTTTGTTTGTTTGTTTGTTTGTTTGAGACAGGGTCTTTCTACATAGCCTTGGCTGTCCTGGAACTCACTCTGTACACCAGGCTGGCCTCAAACTCAGAGATCTGTCTACCTCTGCCTTCCTAGTGTTGGGAATGAAGGTGTGCATCACCACTGCCCAGTCTTTCCTTGTTTTAAAATGAAGGGTGCTTGGCCTTTTTATTGTTGACTTGTAAAAATTGCTTATATATTAGGGGTGATGGTTACTTATCAAATATATGGTTTGAAAACATTCTGTTCTGTGATTCTTTCTTTCTTTGGAGATAAGGTCTTGTGTAGACCAGGTTGATCTTGAAGACATAGAGATCTATCTGCCTCTGCTACCCAAGTGCTGGAACTCCATTTTGTTAGTGTTTTCTTTTTTGAAAGATTTATTTTATGCACGAGTGCTCTATCTGTGTGTACACCTTTATGCCAGAAGAGGGCACCAGGTCCCATTACAGATGGTTGTGAGCCACCATGTGGCTGCTGGGAATTGCACTCAGGAACTCTGAAAGAGCAGCCAGTACTCTTAACCACTGAACCATCTCTCCATCCCCTGTTAGTGGTTTTAAGACAAGGCCCTGTGAAGCCCAGACTGACTGACTTGATGTGCAGCAGAGGGTAACCTCCCACTTTTGAGAACCTTGCCTCCACCATTTCCATGGGAATTTCAAGTGTGTACTGCAACACTTGGTTTCATTAGAGTTGAGAATAGAGCCTGGGGCCTCCTGTAGAGTAGGGAAGCGGCCTAATACCTGAGCTACATCTCCAGCCCCATCATTCAAAGATACCACAGGGTGGGAGACATGACTGATTGGTTAAGAGCACTCGTTGTTCTTGCAGAGGACCAGAGTTTGGTTCCCAGCACCCATTTGGTGGCTCATGACCATACATAACTTCAGTTCGAAAGGATTCAACAGGCATGCACGTGGGATACGTACATGCATGCAGACAAAACATTTGTGCTCATTAAGTAAAATAAAAAGTCTAAAAAAGAAAAAAGTGAAAAGGAGTGGTGGTGCTTGTCTCTCATTACAGCTCTAGAGAGGCTAGCCTGGGCTATGTAGGAAGTCCCTTTCTCAAGATACTAACAAAAGGTTTTAAGTTTATCGAGATATAATCTACTCGCCATAAAATACCACATAGGTACTTAGTATTTGTGTTTAGAAAGAAAAGTGGGTTGAATATACTATAAGGAGCCATGGCCTGGGTACTTACACAAGTGCCATTTGCTTATTTTTGTGTTTGTCTGAAAAAGGGTCTTATGTATCCCAGGCTGCCCTCAAACTCAGGATTGTTGTCTTGCCTTCCCCAAAGTACTGAGGATTCTATGCGTATAGCCATGCCCAACTTTTTTTTTTTTTAAAGTTTCTGGAGGCAGGTTTGTTTCTTTGTGTAGCCCTGGGTGTCTTGGACTCCTAAACACATGTACCACTCTTCAGTTGTTTTGTTTTGTGTTCGTTGTTTTGTTGTTGTTTTGTTTTTTTTTTCAAGACAGGGTTTCTTTTTTTATATACTTTTTTATTGATTTTTATTGAACTCTACATTTTTCTCTGCTCCCTTTCTTCTCCTCTCCCCTTCAACCCTCTCCTATGGTTCCCATGATCCCAATTTACTCAGGAGATCTTGTCTTTTTCTACTTCCCATGTAGATTAGATCTATGTAAGTTTCTCTTAGTGTCCTCATTGTTGTCTACATTCTCTGGGATTGTGGTTTGTAGGCTGGTTTTATTTCCTTTATGTTTAAAAACCACTTATAAATGAGTACATGTGATAATTGTCTTTCTGTGTCTGGGTTACCTCACTCAAAATGATGTTTTCTAGTTTCATCCATTTTCCTGCAAAATTCAAGATGTTGCTATTTTTTTTCTGCTGTGTAGTATTTCATTGTGTAAATGTACCACATTTTCCTTATCCATTCTTTGGTCAAGGGGCATTTAGGTTGTTTCCAGGTTCTGGCTATGATTGAGCATCCTTTGGATAGATACCCAAAAGTGGTATTACTGGGTCTTGAGGAAGGTTGTTTCCTAATTTTCTGAGAAATCACCACACTGACATCCAGAGGGGTTGTACCAGCTTGCATTCCCACCAGCAATGCAGAAGTGTTCCCCTTTCCCCACAACCTCTCCAGCATCAGTTGTCATCGGTGTTTTTGATCTTGGCCATTTTTATAGGTGTAAGATGAAATCTCTGAGTTGTTTCAATTTTCATTTCTCTGATGACTAAGGATGTTGAACATTTCCATAAGTGTCTTTCAGCCATTTGAGATTCCTCTGTTGACAGTTCTCTGTTTAGGTCTGTACTCCATTTTTTTTTTATTGGATTGTGTGTTCTTTTGATGAGCAGTTTCTTGAGTTCTTTGTATATTTTGGAGATCAGACCTCTGTCTGATGTGGGGTCAGTAAAGATTTTTTCCCATTCTGTAGGCTGTCGTTTTGTCAAGACAGGGTTTCTCTGTGTAGTTTTGGAGCCTGTCCTGGCACGTGCTCCTTAGACCAGGCTGGCCTTGAACTTGCCTTGATTGTCCTGTTTCTATTATTGGAGTGTTGGGATTACAGATGTGAATCATTAACCTCTGCTCAAAAGTTTCAGTTTATTGAGATTTTTATTTTATGTGTCCGGGTATTTGGTCTGCATGTGCATCTGTAGATCACATCATCCTGGTGCTTGCAGATTCCAGAAGAGGGTGTTGGAGAGAGAGAAAAGGAGAGGGAAAGAGAAGCTGGGCGGTGGTGGTGCCTGCCTTTAATCCCAGCATTCTGGAGTAGAGGCAGGCGGATCTCTGTGAGTTCAAGGCCAGCCTGGTCTAGAGAGTTAGTTCCAGGACAGGCTGCAAAGCTACGTAGAGAAACGTTGTCTCAAAAAACAAACAAACAAACAAAAACACTACAAAGATAGATACACAGTTCTTACTTTCCTAGGACTCGCTTATAGACCAAGCCAGCCTGAATTTGTTGTCTCTGCTTCTGGCTCCTGAGGGGGTGAGAGAGGAATGGTGCTACACCTGGGATCTCGAGATGGTTTGGTTTTTGTTTGTTTGTTTGTTTGTTTTAAGACAGTCTCACTGTATAGTCCAGGCTGACTTCAAACTCCCTAAGTGTCCTCCTAGCCTTGAACTGGAGAGCCTGCCGTCTCCAGCTCCGAGTGCTGGGAACAAGTATGTGACGTCACAGCAGGCTGCACAGCCACGTCCTCTTACCCTCCCATGGTGGAGTGCCTGCTGTCCCCACTCAGCTCACACGGGGCTCGGGACAGATGGATCCCGAGACTAAGGCATGCCCTGTAACCCTCAGAATGATGAGGAGCTGGTCCGAAAGAGCCACCTGATGGGGATGAGACCCCTGATCCTGATCAGCTACAGGCACCCAGTCAATTTCTATCGCTGGGAGACTGAAAATCTGCAGATTCAGATGGAGGCTGCCCCATTGCGTACCTCAGGTGGGCCAAACTGCTCTTGCTGGTGGTGGTGGGCAGAGATGGGAAGTCTGGAGGCACTCTGAGGCCTTTAGGGGCATCTGGCAGCCTCTAGCCCCTCAGTACTGCATCTGACCAGCAGGATTCTGCTCAGCGGAGGTCATGTGCACCTTGAACTGGTATGCACCCATGCCCATCAAAAACGGCAGCGTAGTTATGAGCGTGGACATCAGCAGCAATGGCTTGGGGGTCTTCATTCCCCGCGAAAGGTATTCAAGCCCAGGGCACAGTCAGGAATCCCAGCCCCCAGAATCCCAAGGAAAGCAAGGGAGGCAAAAGGGAGGAGCCGGAAAAGGTGGCTGCGAGGGGTGAAGTTACCCTAAGAGGGCCTTCCTCACTGGAGCCTGCTCGCAGGTTCTATATCAATATCAATGGCTTCTTGAAGAAAGATGCAAGTGGCAAAACCATCTTCACCGTGGGATATGAGGTGAGGGCTGCTGACTGGGAGAAGGTACGTATCACACACACATGGCCCCCAAACCAACACAGACCCTATTTGTAGAACACTTACTTGAGCTCCAGGCTCCAGGTGATAACTTCCTAAATGTACCAATTTCTTTTTCAAAGTGACTCTGGAAGGCAGGGGTACTTGCTTGCACACACACGCACACAAACACACACACACCCTCTCTAGGTGCTGGGGACTGAACAGAACCTCATGCTCTCCAGTGAAACACAGCCATAGGAGGAGGGCACATTCCCCATCGCCTCATTTGTGTGTGCTTATACCTATACTATGGAATGCACACGGAGGTCAGAGGCCAGCTTTCAGGAGTCAGTTCTCTCCTTCCACCATGTGGAATTGCCTGGGATTGAACTCAAGACCTTAGACTTGACAGCAGGAGCCGTAACCTGCCAGGCCATCTCACCAGCCCCTCTGTAGTGGTCCGTAGTTTTGTTTTTTGAACAGGGTCTCAATATAGCCCACAGTGGTCTCAAGCAGACCAGGCAAGCTCTGTGAAATTTCTGGTTCAGTCTCCTAAGTGCTAGAATCATAGATACGGGGCACCAAGCCTGACTTTAAATACTCAGTTTTTCTATCACATTTATCTATTTTGTGTGTGGGGGGGGGCACACATGTGGCATGTATGCAGAAGGCAGAAGACAACTCTCAGGAGCTGCTTCTCTCCTTCCATCATTAAGCTTGTCTTTTACCCACTGAGCCATCTCACGCATGTGTGTACTCATTTCAAAGATGAGAACACTAGCCAGGTGGTGGTGCACACATTTAATTCCAGCATTCAGGAGGCAGAGGCAGGAGGATCTCTGAGTTTGAGGCCAGCCTGGTACAGAGCAAATTCCAGTTCTGAGTTCACTATGCATTCAGCCAGCAAATGCTTCCAAATCATGAGGATGTTGGTCAGTATTTGGTAGGGTTCAATGCACCTCACTTCAAAAAAGGGCGAATGAGGGGCTGGAAAGATGGGTCAGAGCACTGGCTGTTCTTCCAGAGGACCTGGTTTCAATTCCCAGCACCCACATGGCAGCTCACAACTGTCTGTTACTCCAGTTCCAAGGGATCTGATGACTTCACATCAATGCACATAAAATAAAGTTAAATAAAAAAGGAGAATGAGGGCTGGAGAGATGGCTCAGTGGTTAAGAGCTTTACCTGCTCCTCCAAAGGTCCTGAGTTCAATTCCCAGCAACCACATGTGCTCACAACCATCTGTAATGAGATTTGGTGCCCTCTTCTGGCCTTCAGGGATACAGGCAGGCAGAACACTGAACACATAATAAATAAATCTTACTTTTTTAAAAAGAAAAGATGGGGGGCTGGAGAGATGGCTCAGAGGTTAAGAGCACTGCCTGCTCTTCCAAAGGTCCTGAGTTCAATTCCCAGCAACCACATGGTGGCTCACAACCATCTGTAATGATGTCTGGTGCCCTCTTCTGGCCTGCAGACATACACACAGACAGAATATTGTATACATAATAAATAAATAAATAATTTTTTTTTTTTTTTAAAAAAAGAGCTAGTTCCAGGACAGGAACCAAAAAGCTACAGAGGAAACCCTGTCTCGAAAATAAAAAAAAAAAAGACCAAAAAAGAGCAGAAACATATATGTAGTATATATATAGTATGTTCTAACAAAAAGCCTTACATTTCTATCAATATATAAAAATCAAGACCAATTAAAATATTTGAGATTAGTAGGATTTTATTAGTTCAAAAGTAGATTCAAAAGAGAGGGGAGCAGACAAAAATGTATAGCTCAAGAAAAACTATTAAAAAATAGTAGATTCAATAATCTACCCTTTTTTTTCCTATAATCCCCTACCCCCTTTTTCTTTTCATAATGAGATCCCTGAATCTAATCTCCTTTGCTTAGTTTCCTCTCTGATTATGTCCAATAACAACTTGCAACCAACATTGTTTGTCAACAATGACAAACCTTCATAACTCACCAAATGACCAAAAACTACCTACTCCACCTCTTGGAAATATGGGCACCATGCCCTCTAGACTGCATCCTGTTGTCTGGGGGTGATGACATTTTTAGGGGACCTTGAGAAAATTGGGATAATGGTCAAGTCCTGGGAGAGCTAGCTTTTTTATTTATTAGTTAGTTAGTTAGTTAGTTAGTTAGTTAGTTAGTTAGTTTAGTCTTTGTGTGATGGGAAAGTGCAGGGCTGCTCTGAAGTCCTGGCTGTGTAGTCTGGGAGGCTGGACCATCTCAGCTAGCTGCTCTGAAGTCCTGGCTGTGTAGTCTGGGAGGCTGGACCATCTCAGCTAGCTGCTCTGAAGTCCTGGCTGTGTAGTCTGGGAGGCTGGACCATCTCAGCTAGCTGCTCTGAAGTCCTGGCTGTGTAGTCTGGGAGGCTGGACCATCTCAGCTAGCTGCTCTGAAGTCCTGGCTGTGTAGTCTGGGAGGCTGGACCATCTCAGCTAGCTGCTCTGAAGTCCTGGCTGTGTAGTCTGGGAGGCTGGACCATCTCAGCTAGCTGCTCTGAAGTCCTGGCTGTGTAGTCTGGGAGGCTGGACCATCTCAGCTAGCTGCTCTGAAGTCCTGGCTGTGTAGTCTGGGAGGCTGGACCATCTCAGCTAGCTGCTCTGAAGTCCTGGCTGTGTAGTCTGGGAGGCTGGACCATCTCAGCTAGCTGCTCTGAAGTCCTGGCTGTGTAGTCTGGGAGGCTGGACCATCTCAGCTAGCTGCTCTGAAGTCCTGGCTGTGTAGTCTGGGAGGCTGGACCATCTCAGCTAGCTGCTCTGAAGTCCTGGCTGTGTAGTCTGGGAGGCTGGACCATCTCAGCTAGCTGCTCTGAAGTCCTGGCTGTGTAGTCTGGGAGGCTGGACCATCTCAGCTAGCTGCTCTGAAGTCCTGGCTGTGTAGTCTGGGAGGCTGGACCATCTCAGCTAGCTGCTCTGAAGTCCTGGCTGTGTAGTCTGGGAGGCTGGACCATCTCAGCTAGCTGCTCTGAAGTCCTGGCTGTGTAGTCTGGGAGGCTGGACCATCTCAGCTAGCTGCTCTGAAGTCCTGGCTGTGTAGTCTGGGAGGCTGGACCATCTCAGCTAGCTGCTCTGAAGTCCTGGCTGTGTAGTCTGGGAGGCTGGACCATCTCAGCTAGCTGCTCTGAAGTCCTGGCTGTGTAGTCTGGGAGGCTGGACCATCTCAGCTAGCTGCTCTGAAGTCCTGGCTGTGTAGTCTGGGAGGCTGGACCATCTCAGCTAGCTGCTCTGAAGTCCTGGCTGTGTAGTCTGGGAGGCTGGACCATCTCAGCTAGCTGCTCTGAAGTCCTGGCTGTGTAGTCTGGGAGGCTGGACCATCTCAGCTAGCTGCTCTGAAGTCCTGGCTGTGTAGTCTGGGAGGCTGGACCATCTCAGCTAGCTGCTCTGAAGTCCTGGCTGTGTAGTCTGGGAGGCTGGACCATCTCAGCTAGCTGCTCTGAAGTCCTGGCTGTGTAGTCTGGGAGGCTGGACCATCTCAGCTAGCTGCTCTGAAGTCCTGGCTGTGTAGTCTGGGAGGCTGGACCATCTCAGCTAGCTGCTCTGAAGTCCTGGCTGTGTAGTCTGTGAGGCTGGACCATCTCAGCTAGCTGCTCTGAAGTCCTGGCTGTGTAGTCTGGGAGGCTGGACCATCTCAGCTAGCTGCTCTGAAGTCCTGGCTGTGTAGTCTGGGAGGCTGGACCATCTCAGCTAGCTGCTCTGAAGTCCTGGCTGTGTAGTCTGGGAGGCTGGACCATCTCAGCTAGCTGCTCTGAAGTCCTGGCTGTGTAGTCTGGGAGGCTGGACCATCTCAGCTAGCTGCTCTGAAGTCCTGGCTGTGTAGTCTGGGAGGCTGGACCATCTCAGCTAGCTGCTCTGAAGTCCTGGCTGTGTAGTCTGGGAGGCTGGACCATCTCAGCTAGCTGCTCTGAAGTCCTGGCTGTGTAGTCTGGGAGGCTGGACCATCTCAGCTAGCTGCTCTGAAGTCCTGGCTGTGTAGTCTGGGAGGCTGGACCATCTCAGCTAGCTGCTCTGAAGTCCTGGCTGTGTAGTCTGGGAGGCTGGACCATCTCAGCTAGCTGCTCTGAAGTCCTGGCTGTGTAGTCTGGGAGGCTGGACCATCTCAGCTAGCTGCTCTGAAGTCCTGGCTGTGTAGTCTGGGAGGCTGGACCATCTCAGCTAGCTGCTCTGAAGTCCTGGCTGTGTAGTCTGGGAGGCTGGACCATCTCAGCTAGCTGCTCTGAAGTCCTGGCTGTGTAGTCTGGGAGGCTGGACCATCTCAGCTAGCTGCTCTGAAGTCCTGGCTGTGTAGTCTGGGAGGCTGGACCATCTCAGCTAGCTGCTCTGAAGTCCTGGCTGTGTAGTCTGGGAGGCTGGACCATCTCAGCTGCTCTGAAGCTGTTCTGGATGCAGATTGTTGAGACTATGTAAAGATGATTTGTTTGTTTCGTGTTTGAGCAGGTAAAAGGCGCCCATCAACTTTACAAGTCTGTTTGGACTGTATAACCAAACTGTAATATAAATCTCCATACATGCCATAGGACGTCACGAGGGTTCTATAGCCAACAAGATTTGTCATGTCCCATACAGTTAGAGCTGTTCCCATGTAGATGGATCAGTATACACATCACATGCTCTGTAGTCTTTTATGACTTTTCCCCTTATGTCTGTAGCCAAAACCCCTGGAACTATTCTGATCTTTATTAATTTTAAAGAAATCTATAGCTTTTCATTTCTGTGGAAACAAAAGCACACCCTCTCCCCCAACAAAACACATATCCTGATTTTTATTTTGAAGTCAAGACATCCCTAAAGTATGTAAGTTGGTTTAATTTTGCAGTTCCTTTCACAATCTAATGTCTCTCAGCAGTTGGCATTTTCTGTTTATTAGCATTTAAAGAATTAAAATTCACAAAGCACCATTTAAGGTCTGAACTCCATGTGTTATACATAAGCTGTTAGGTCCTCAGCAGTGTGACTAGCTTAGTGCAGACATGGTGTTGTTGGCTGGCTGCACCCTCTTTGTCTGTCTAGAGTCTCAGCCATGCTAACCCAGCTCTGGGAAACTTTTGTGTTTCTATTCTATCTGGGCTCCCACTGGTAGGGAACCATTCAGTGCTCTGTTGCATAGCAGGCTCGCCTTCTTTCTTTCTTTCTTTCTTTCTTTCTTTCTTTCTTTCTTTCTTTCTTCCTTTCTTTCTTTCTTTCTTTCTTTTTTCTTTCTTTCCTTCTTTCTATCTTTCTTTCTTTTCTTGTTTATTTATTTGTGCCTTTTTTGAGACAGGGTTTCTCTCTAGCTTTGGAGCCTTCCTGGAACTCACTATATGGACCAGGCTGGCCTTGAACTCACAGAGATTGGCCTATCTCTGCCTCCCCAGTGCTGGAATTAAAGGCATGTGCCACCACTGCCAGCTGTAGTAGGGCCTCTTAAAAGAGCTGCAGGTAAGTCATGGGTACTGAGCCTACTTGAAAGACCTTAGTCAACCAGGCCAGGAAGCTGTGTCTGACTCAATGTTAAGACCCCTTTTCTAGATTTTTTAGAATTTATGTGGATATCTGTGGCCCCACATTGGGTGCCATATATAATAAGTCTTTCTTTGTACCACCAGCCAGCTCCCAAATAATGACATGGAGACTTAATAATTATGGATGCTGGCTTTAGCTTAGGCTTATTCCTAACTAGCTCTTATAACTCAAATTATCCAATATTTTTAAATCTATGTTCTGCCATGTGGCTTGTTACCTCCCCTTCATACCTCACTTCCTGCTTCCTCTCTGTGTCTGGCTGGCAAATTCTGCTTTCTTCTTCTCTTAGTTCTCTTACCCAGAATTCCTGCCTATACTCTCCTACCTTTTTATTACACCAGTAACAACAACACATCTTCACACAGTGCACAAATTTCCCACAACATGTTTCTTTTCTTTTTAAATATTTATTTATTTATTATGTATACAATATTCTGTCTGTGTGCATGTCTGCAGGCCAGAAGAGGGCACCAGACCTCTTTACAGATGGTTGTGAGCCACCATGTGGTTGCCGGGAATTGAACTCAGGACCTTTGGAAGAGCAGGCAATGCTCTTAACCACTGAGCCATCTCTCCAGCCCCTCCACAACATGTTTCAAAAGACAAACAACAACAACAAAAGAACACTTTCCCTGAGACAGGGCTTGGAGGCTGAGTCCTCAACCACATGGCTCACCTGTTCTCTGCCCCTCTGCAGCTGAGCATTGACAGTTGCTGGGTTGGCTCCTACTACTGCCCCATGCTCCAGTTCTCAGCCACCATTCATGATGCTATTTCCACCGAGAGCACACTCTTCATTCGACAGAATCAACTCGTCTACTATTTCACAGGCAGATACACTACGCTCTTCGATAAGAGCCACAGCAGCAGTGAGAAAACTGGGCTGGGGATGGGAGGGCTGGGGAAGATGTGGGGGTTAGAGAAACAAAACCGAGAACATTGACTAGAAAGGAGAATGTCCAGGCATCATTATGGCATGCACCCAACACTTGTGAGCCAGAGGCAGGGGATCAGATTCATCCCCGGATATACCGAAGGTGAATCTGGGTCGATGAGACCCTGGAGATGGGGGAGCACACACATGGGTGATGGTATTGCAGTCCTCTGTAATTCCAGCACTTGAGAATTTCCAGTTCTGGGCAATTCCATTCCAGAAAGCCTGGGAAACTTAGTGAGAACTGCTTTAATTTCCTCTCTCTCTCTCTCTCTCTCTCTCTCTCTCTCTCTCTCTCTCTCTCTGTCCCTTTCCCTCTCAAAAAAATAGGGTCTGTTCATTTATTGGCTTTCCTGAATGAGAAACCCATGAACATTATGGCTTTGGGCATAGGCGTATCTACCCAGGGACTCATTGTAACCCTTGGTTTCCTTGCTGACCCATGGTGATTCTTACCCACACCCAGCTACTGTCCATTTTCCTGTCCCTTAGTAGTCCCAGGGATCCTTTTTATGAGTGGCTACAAGCTGGGAGGGTCTCTTGTTTGTCACACTCTGTCCAACACTCAGTTCAGAACCAGGGGGGCACAAGGGAGGGGTGAGCTCACCTAGACCTCATGGACGGCACGTGTGCCGGTATGCACCTGACATCTCATCGTCTGGGAAGCTGCAGCAGGTAGCTGGAGAGTTTGAGATTCTCCTAGACTACATAGGAAGTTTGACGCCAGCTAAGGTTACAATGTAAGACCCTGTCTCATTAAACCAAAGCTGGTCATAGCAGACTAGGACTCAGAGGTAAAGGATGAGGGAAGGGGTCACAAAAATGACCCCCAATACCACACTGACATGTTGCTCCAGGCTAAGAGGACAGTAATGGGTTTGCAAGATTGGAAGGAAGGGGACTAGGGATCCAGGGACCAGCCTGACCACCTGGTTTTGCTTGCCCATGCTTGCCCCCTTAGGCAGCTGGGTTCGTGTCCTGGCCAATGAGTGCATCAAGAAACTGTGCCCTGTATTCGTCAGTGGCAATGGCTCTGAGTACATCCTGGCCCTCACCACTGGCAAGAATGAAGGTTACGTTCACTTCGGGACCATCACAGGTAAAAAAGCCTGTGTGTTTTGGAAACTCAGAAGACAATCTCTACACTCTTTCACTGAGGGTTCCTGTTCCTTGCCATGTGTCCTCAGGAGAGGTGGCAGGCTCAGGCTTGTTCCATGTGTGTGGATATGGATCTGTATGTGTGGAGATCGGACTTGAATAGTGTTAGGTTCTTTCTATGAAGTCTTTGGCTTTAAGGGACAGAAACCCAACTCAAAAATCAGATCAGCAGAGCTGGATGGAGCAATGCTCGCTTGCAATCCCAGCACATGGGAAGTGAAGGTGGGAGCATCAGAAGTTCAAGGCCAGGCAAGGCTACAGTGAGACCCTTATTTCAAAATAAAACACAAAGCTAGCTGGTGAAACCACTCACATAGTAAACAGAGCAATACATGTGAAGGGCTGGCGAGATGGCTCCGCAGGGAAATCACTTGCTCAGCCTGAGGACTTGAATTCAATCCCTGGGTGGGGCCCACATGATGGAAGAAAAGAGCCAACTCCTCCCAGAAGTGGTCCTTCTGACCTCCTCATGTGTGCAAGGCATGCAGGATTCGAGGCCATTCTGGTCTACATAGGGTGCGTGCTAGTTCTGGGGTCAAAGGTGGAGAGATCCTAAGCCAGAGATTGGCCAAAGAAATGGGTGTTGTCCCAAAAGCCCTGAAGGTGAACAGCTCATGTAAGCTGTCTAGAGGACGGGGTGTCAGAGTCCTCCCAGGTGAAGGCAAAGAGGAAGTATGAGTCAAGCTGTACGGAGACAGTAAAGAAGTCATCTCAGAAATAGGAAACTGGGGTCTGGAAGGGAGGAAGAAGGGTCCTTGAGGTGAATTAGAACTGCACACTGGAGTTGAGGTATCCCATCCTTGGGGATCCACTGGATTCAGGAAGGACAGCCTCGGGTAGGAACTTGTGAAGCTATTAAGGGGAAAAGAAAGTGGGGCTCAGGAGAGGGTGTGGGGGCCAAGGTGAGTGTGGCTCTAAAGTGGATGAGAATATGACCACCAAGTAGGGGTGCAGGGCAAGCAGGTATGACCAAGAAAGTGTGTGAGAAGAATTGCCCTGCAAGAATGCAGGAAGGGACAGGGTCTTGAGTGGGAAGGAGCGGGTCCTGTCTACCCCCATGACAGAAGTCGACAAGGGAACTTTAGGATCCCAGTGAGATGTTAAAACAGAGTAAGAAGCTGTGTGTCCAATGACTCACCTGCTACCTGCAGCATTACCCTAGGCTCAGGGAAGTCAATGGGGGTCATCAAGTCTGGGTCATGCCAGTTTTCCACCAGGCTGTGTAGTTCGAAGGTTGGAAGAGTCTCAGATGCCGGTGCTGGTGAGGTTGGACCTCTGTGGTGTGGTCTACACGGAGGCATTCTGATTTCCAGTGTCCAGGCTGTCTGCAGAAGGCAGACTGCATGGCCTCGACTGGGGTGGGCAGGGCAATATCATGGCTAGTGAGCCTCTTGGCTGCATTTGAAGCAGGTTTCTGGTTGAGTTGACTTGTGGGGGTCCCTCTGGGCAGCTGCTAAGGCTTGGGCATAGCCTTCTTTTTTATAAATATTTATTTATTTATTTATTATGTACACAATATTCTGTCTGCATGTATGCCTACAGGCCAGAAGAGGGCACCAGGCCTCATTACAGATGGTTGTGAGCCACCATGTGGTTGCTGGGAATTGAACTTAGGACCTTTGGAAGAGCAGGCAATGCTCTTAACCTCTGAGCCATTTCTCCAGCCCGGGCATAGCCTTCTTGTTGCAGCCTTGTCTAACAGGAGGATTCAACTGCCTCATCTCAGTCATTACAAATTCTAAAAACAGTTTTCACCAATTCCTGTGTGGGAGTTTGGAGACCCTCCTCAGCCTTTTTTAATTTCTTGCTGGTATCTGGTGCTGACTGAGAAATGAAATGGGTGGCCAGGCCGTGGTTCACACCAGGGATGCTGGGTCAAGTCGAGTACATTAAACTATGGACTCTCATCCATGATTTAGAAAGATAGGTTTGTGTCAGCTAGCTGTGTGTAGAAGGAGCTGCAGGCCACTTCCGGAGGGCTGCGTCCCGCCACCGGGCTAGCTTTACACCCAAAATAATTACATGGAAACTGTATTCTTTTAAATACTGCCTGGCCCGTTATCTGTAGCCTCTTATTGGCTAACTCTCACATCTTGATTTCTAATAATCTGTGTAGCACCACGAAGTGGTGGCTTACTAGGAAAGATTCTAGCCTACATCTGTCTTGGGTCGAAGAATCATGGCGTCTGTGTGAATCTGCTTCTTTCTCCCAGCATTCTGTTCTGTCTACTCCGCCTATCTAAGCTGCTGTCCTATCAAAGGGCCAAGGCAGTTTCTTTATTAACCAATGAAAGTAACACATAGACAGAAGACCCTCTCACATCAGCTGTGTAATCTTTCAGAGTTCATAAAAATTAACAACTGAGACCATTTCCATACTTTGGAGGAGGCATATCAAACTGTGAGGTCTCTCCTCTGATGTCCACTTTGACCCAGTTGGTAGTCCCAGTAGGGCTTTGTAACTGGCACTGCCATGTCACCCAAAGGGACCACATTGTCCCCTAGGTGGGTCTGGTTTGCATACTGTCTAGCTGTTGCCTGAACAGTACCTCACTCCGTGGGAGTGAGAATTTAGGCCTGGATGACAGAGAGGTCATGCTAGGCCAGATAGTAGGCCTGGGACAGATAGCAAAACTCCTTAATATAAACAGAAGGATTAGCAGTCCAAGGAACCCGGCCATTTTTCTATTTGTGAGAAGTCCTGAAGAGAGACTGGAATGTGGACTTCAACAATTCCATGGGCTCCAGCTACCTCCAGAGAGGGCAGAGGAGGGCAGTCTGGCGAGACTGGGCATGAGAAGACATCTGGGAGGATTGGGGCGGCGGGGGAGTTAGGCCAGTGTATAGAAGGGGATCAGGATGTAGCTTGTGGCATTGGTGGGGGAGAAGGGACAGTAGGAGGGAGGGGAGAACAGAAAGGGTGGGTAAAAAGGAGGAGGAATTTGGTCTTTGGACCTTTTCCCAGAGGGGAAGAAGGGATGAGGGTGGATAGAGGGAGGATGTGGGGAATGTTGGCCACCTGAAGGAACCTGTGGCAAGTAGGAGGGGGATGGGTAAGCAGGGTTGAGGGGAATGAGGGAGGGGCCCATGTCTCTGACATCATGGTCAGAGCAGAATTTCAGGGTCCCCGTTCCCAGATAGGCAAATCTGGAGGTGCCCCGACCCTAGCCAACAAGACCAGTGCCATGGGACACTGGCTGCTGTAGGGAGGGTGAGAATGCAGAACCCAAAACCTGTGGAAGGCACTTAACTTTACCCTGACAAAAATTGTCAAGACTGTAGAGCACAGAAAATTCTAAGTTTCCCTCTGGTGGCTGTCCTAATTGGTTATCAAGAGCATATTGTGGTCAGGACTTAGTGCACAGAGAAATCAGGCAGTCAGGACATATGATGTCAGACAGCCCCAATTGAGTAGATTTTGTAGAAGACACCCCACAGGTGTTTGGGGGTCTGGCTTTGAATTGCAGGTGCCCATTTCACAGGTCTATGCTGGGACCCGAAGCCTAGTGCAATGCATCCACTGTGGTAGGCTTTGGGTCAAAAAAAGGGTGTGTGGGATATTTACTTGAACAGAATGTCTTCTGAAGAATGGTCCCATGAAACAAAGGCAGGTCTTTGCTCTGGTAATGGATTGGGGGCCTGACACAGCCCCGTCTTTGGCAGGACACCCCAAAAATCAGAGGAGGCCCCAGGCTTCTAAGGCAATGACTTGGAAGGACAACTTACCCAGCTGAAAGCCTTTTTAGTCTGGTGAAGAGCAGGTGTGTGGTAGAAGGGTGTTTGGCCCATGAGGCCCAGGGCCTGGTAGGGAAAATCAGCCCCTCGGTGGAGCCTCCAGATGAAAAGTACCACAATAAGCCTCACACCAATGCAGCAAGCCAAATCACGCCAAATCAAACTGAATTAGGAAAAGCCCGGGTTTAATGGTTAAAACACTCCCAGATCATTTTCTGGCCCCCAGAGAGGAGACGGAGAAGAGAGACCAAAAAACCGCATGTCTGTTCTCAGGGGAGCAGTTTAAATACTCTGTGGGAGTGGTCTTGAACATCTCAGTGGGAGGAGCCATATTTGAAGGGCTTTCAGAGAAGAGATAGGGTTTGGGGAGAGAGAGGTGGGGGAGGGGGATTGAGGTGCAGCTTCCACCAGAACATTCTGAAGTTCTCTTTTGGCCTCCTCCAGCACCAGGTACCCAGGTGGTACCCAGACAGATAGATATGCAAACCACTCAGACACCAAAAACAAATAAATCTAAAGTTATTGCATGCTCGCATGCAGTGTTAAGCAGGAATCTGACCCAAATTTCTCCATTGTCAGAGAGTCATGGAGGTGCCGTTGTCATCTTTCTGCATTTTCATTTCATTTGTTTGTTTATTTTTTGAGACATGAACTCAGTATGTAACTCACTGTCTTTGAACTCACTATGCAGTCCAAGGTGGCTTTAAATCCCCCTGCTCTGCCCCTCGGATTAAAGGCCTGTACCAATAGTCAGGGCTTGTCCTGTTTTCCCTTTCCCATCAGGCATCTGCCAGGCCCGACTGAAAAGGCCCTGTGTCTGTGGCTCACGTTCCCATCTGTAAACATGGGACCAGATGACGACACTAGAGTCTGCGTCTTTGGGTTGATATGAAGATTACAAAAATTCCCTGGGCATGGTGGTGTACACATGGAGTCACAACACTTGGAAGGCTAAGGCAGAAGGATAAAAAGGTGGAAGCCATGTTGAGCTAAAAGACAAAACCGGGGCCAGAGCTTGGCTCAGCATTTGAGAACTTGCATGGAATCTAGCAGTGAGTGAGAGCTGGGATCCCCAGTGTGCACCACCACACCTCGCTTCAATAACCCTAACTCCCAGCCACGGGCTGCACTAGGATTGGCTTCCATTGGTCACATTGCCAAATCTAAGAACATTTCTGAGACCCTTTATCAGTGCAGGGATGAGGAAGCTGGAAGGCAGATCTAGTCCCTAGACTCTCTGAACTAAGAGTTTCAATGTGTGGGAATGCTGATGGGGTGCTGGTTGGGTGGGATGCCCTACAGATGCTGGTGGACTAAAAAGGACCTGAGCATGGGACCTGATTTGATCCACAGATGGCCTCGTGACCTTCCGGATGGTGCCGAATGACTGGTCAATGTGTGATAGGGTACCAGGTACTCATTTTTTGGTGAGATCTGGGTTGGAGGTTGGGAGGCCTCTGAGGAGGGTGAGAAGGGTTCTGGGGAAGAGATCAGGGCCTGGATTGCTTTTGTTTCTGCTCTCTCCCAACAGGTTCAAACTGCTCCATCAACTGGGCTACATACATTGCTGATGAGAAGGTCTTGCTGTTGTTAGTGGAGGCCTTCTCGGCTTCCGTTAAGGTCTTTCACCTAGTCAAATTTAACACAGGTAATCAGGTTGTCTGGAGGTCAGGAGGGAACATGTAAGAGCCTAGACTGTGGGTTGTATGTCCATACCAAACACTATGCTCTTAGCTCTTAGAGTGGGCTAGGGAAGCCTGCATGTCTCGGAGAGAAATAGGAGGACAAGGAGGAAGAATAAAGAAGGGAACAGAGGGCTGGAGAGATGGCTCAGTGGTTAAGAGCATTGCCTGCTCTTCCTAAGGTCCTGAGTTCAATTCCCGGCAACCACATGGTGGCTCACAACCATCTGTAATGAAGTCTGGTGCCCTCTTCTGGCCTGCAGACAAACACACATACAGAATATTGTATACATAATAAATAATAAAAAAAATTTTAAAAAAGAGAACAGAAAGCTGGATCTGGAACACACACACACACACAAAAAATGATATTGATATTCTAGGATGTTGATGGAGACTGCTCATTCAATCCTGGCCACCCAGACCCAAATAACCACACAGAAGCTATTATTACAACACTGCTTGGCCTATTAGCTTACACTTCTTATTGACTAGTTCTTATATCTTAAATTAACCCATTTCTGTTAGTCTGTGTATTGCAACTCAGTATGGTTCCATTCAGCGTATGTCTCCTGTGACGACTACATGGCTTTTCTCTTACTTTGCCTCCTTTCATCCTCTATCTGCCTGGAATTCCTGCCTTGCCCTATTCTGTACTGCAATAGGCCCAAATCAGCTTCTTTGTTAACCAGTGATATTCAAAGGATTCAGAGGGGAATCCCACATCATCTCCTCTTTTCTGTCTAAATAAAAAGAAAGGTTTTAACATTAGCAAAGTTAAATTACATATAACAAAACAGGTATCAAGCAAGAATTACAGTTAAAATATTTATATATACTTTATCTTTTATCATAACTAAGGAAAACTATAATAACAACTATCTATTCTCAACTCCATCAAAGACTCCAGAAGGATAAATTATTACCTAAGTAAGCAGGAAGTGTGTTGTAAGCAACTTCAAAAACTCTAAAATTGACAGAGACATCTCACTGCCTAGACAGTCACCCAGAGTTCCTCTGTATCCTGGGGTACCCAATATTTAACCTACAGGCCCATAGCATCTGGCAGACCTTTCCATGAATCGGGAAATTTCAAAGACATTTCCACCTATATTGGCAGTTTGTCAGTCACTTTTTTCTGTATCCTGCAGAATGTCTAGCAGACTCTTTCATGAAACAGGTACCGTAAAAGATTGTGTCACCTTTAGGCAGGCTCAGCAGTCATTTTTCTGTGGATCCTGCATGTCCATTTCATACAGCATAACATCAAGCAGTCCAGTCAAGAGCAGTTTCTTGCCCAAATGGCTAACAAACTCCATAAGGAGCCTCTTCGATGTCCACCATCCTCTTGAAGTAGATGGGTGCTGCCAGATGCAGTTGTGTCTCATTGTCATGAAAACTCCTAAGTTCTTAAACATTTTAAATGCTATATTCTGTTAGTCTTCGAAAGATTTGAAGCATATCTATCCTTCTGAAATATATCTTTGTACATCTAGAAAACCTAACAAACACGACTACAAGCTTGACTTTTATAGAAGACTGTCTACTGACCTGTATTTCTTAGTTACACATGACACTTTTAAATGTGCTGTACAAACACAATACCTTAAGAGCAGAAATATAACAAAATTGGCCTTAAATTTGTATCAATAGATTAAGATCCGTACCAATGCAAAGTATTCATCTCTGTAGCACAGAGTTACCAAGATGACTTAGTGGGAACAGTCACTTGCTACCAAGCCCGAAAACCTAAGCTCAGTTCTTAGGACCCAATGGTAAAAAGAGAGCTCTGACTCCTGAAAGTTGTCCTCTGTTGTTGTGGAATGTGCATTTGTATACACACACGCGTGCACACACAGACACACACAAACACACACACACACAATAAATATAATAAATCAACCCTAAATGGAAAGTCAGTAGAATCTTTAAGATGGGTGGGAATCTGTATTTATTCATTTACTTTTTGAAACAAGGTCTCATTATGTTATCCTAACTGGCCTGGAGCTCCTCATATAGACCAGGCTGTCCTTGAGCTTACGAAGATGCATTTGTCTCTGCGTCCTGAGTGCTGGGGTTAAAGTGCCCCCTTGCCCAGTTGCCTACACAGTGTGTATGAGGATTGCAGAGCTGGCAACTGTGCCCTCTTTCAGATATGGAGAGGTCTTCAGCTCTCAAAGTGTTGCTTTCCTCCTTTTAGAGAACCAGACATTGAGCATTCTCTACACACTACCAAGGTTTATCCCAGAAGGTAGGACTAGAGGGTGAGGGTGGCTTCTGGGGTGGGCAGTGGCCAGGAAGAGCCCAGGCGACTGCCTATGCCCCTCCTCCACACCATACCCTTTCTTTCTTTGCTGTGGTCAGGTCACGAGTTGGAGTTCCTTGTGCTAGATGGGACAGAGACCTACACCAACACTTCGATGATACCGAAGGGCCTGTTCTTCAACACATTCAACAATATGCTGTATATCTGGGGTAACTTCATCCTGCAAAGGTAGGCATAAGCCATCTTCCCAGGGACCCCCCCACATATTGTGGAGGGCACAAGGATACTCCAGTACATGGTGGAAGCTGACACTGGCATCAGGGGTCCCTTCACTACTGTCTACAGTGCCTGCAGACAGTGAGTCCTGTGCTAGACTATGGGAGATGCAGGCATCCAAGGACACTGGCCTGTCCCCATTCTCTGGGCTCCTTCTCTCTGTCTTTCCAGCTACAATAGGTTACACTTCATTTTTCTGGCGGACTTCCCCAAGGACTCCACCATCAAATACATGGTCAACTCTTACCAAGGAGACATGGCTTTTGTCACAGAAACAGATGAGGTGAGCTACCCTGTTGTTCTCCCCAAGCCCTCCTTTTTTACCACCAAACCCTCCTGTCCTGTCACGGTGAACACCCTTAAGGGATCCCAAGATAATGTCAGTAGAAGCTCTATCTGTAACTGGGCCCTGGAACTCAGAGAGGGTAGGAGATTTTTTTCCAAAGACACACAGCACAGTGGGAGTGTAGGAAGGGTATAT